CTGATAACGAGTTCAAACAGTGCCATTAATACAGTTAACAAGTGGAGGACAGAGGAGGCTCTTAAAGAAGAAGTTACAGGTCTGTGAGAGCCAGAAATCTTGTTTGTTTGTAGGTGACCAAATACTTATTTTATTGAGGAATTGACCAAGTAATTCATTAAAAATCCTACAATGTGATTTCCTGGATTTTTAAAAAAAAATTATTTATTTTTTATTTCTAATTTTGTCTCTCATAGTTGAGGTACTGTATACCTAGGATGAAATTATAGGCCTCATCTTTTTAAGTGGGAGAACTTGCACAATTGGTGGCTGACTAAATACTTTTTTGCCCCACTGTATATGATTCTGTTTTCTTCAAGTTTGTATTTTGTTGGTCGAACGCACTTATTGTAAGTCACTTTGGATAAAAGCATAAGCTAAATGTAATGTTATATACTGTAGATGCATTTGACACAGTTTTGTCATGACAAACAGGGAACTAAATAACAAAAACAAAAGATCAGATGATTCAACATTGGGTAAACTTCCCCTTTTGCAGTGACGTTCTTGTTAAGTTAATAAGAATCGCTTGGGGTAACATGTACATCCCTGTTTACAGAGTATGCATTTTGTATTTACCAAGTACAGAGCTGGGCACAAGTGTCGGTAGCCAAGCTACATTGCTAAACGCAGAGGTGTGCAGAGAGTTGATACGGGCCAGTTCAGAGACCCCTCCAGTGCAGGACAGGGGTCCAATGTGGTCCACCCTCCACAGGATAAGCTCACTGTAGATGGCGTTGGGATCATGGAAGGTCCGTGTAGCTGCATTACGAAGCTGCTTCCTGCTAATGGAAAAGTAAAGCATAATTAGAACTCATTATTCCTAAAAAGGATTTGACAATATGTTGCATTAAGCAGCATTAATGGTATTCCAACCATGTGTATAATATTTCTTCTTCTTATCTCACATCCTCTTTCAATGCCTTCCAAATTGTGCTATACCTGGAAAGTCCCTTTGGTGTTGGAAAGGTGGGAGGCTGCTCCTCCTCCAGGCTGCCAGGGGCTGAGGGGGGGGTGAGCAGGGCGTTGTGGTGAGAGGAGGTCAGCAGCAGGGGCAGCACTGTGTGGCAGGCTTGGTCGTTCAGATGGAAGCGGTGCCCGCAGTACCGGAACTTGTGTGATACGGTCAGTACGTTGGAGAAGGCAGAGCGCTCAGCAAATGTCACTGCCCACTGCGGATAAAGGGAACCACAAACATCAGAGAACACACACAAACATGCAAGTACAATACTTTGGTTTAGAGTTAAAGGAGTAAAGGAATACATAAGGTTTTAGGGAACACCTTTCATTTATGAAAACATGCATACAGTACATTGGCAACAACAAAATAAGAGCTTGGGATGCACCATTTATTTCTAATAATCTTTTACCTGATTGAGAGATCCATCCACATGCTTCGAGACCATCATGACCGCAGGACTGATACCAGGGCAGGGGTTGGGATTGGAGGCCAGGGTGGATGATCCCAGGGCGCCCGATAAAGAAGCAGAGTGGGGGACAGGTTGAACCATCCTCCCCGGCTCACTGGAACTCTCCCCCTCATTCATAGTGCAGGCGTACATCAGGATGTTTTTACTCAGTGAGTTGGCATCACCTGTAGGAAATGCCACTGGAATACGGGAGGAAAAGGATACCTGATAGGAGAGATGGAGGGACACTCCTTTAGCAACTAGCAATTCATACCAAATTAGAAAAAACATTTAAATGTTGTTGAATCGAACACACACTCTACCACTTTCTACAGTATATATGGGCTTACTATGTGTACACAGCATTATAGAGCTCATAATATATGTTGCCAACTTATATGTTCTCTTATAAAGAGCATAAAGACGGATAGTTATGTGCATGCATACTAGTACTTTATCATTGCAGTAGTGATCTCAAAATGTAAGTGTGAATGTATTTGTAGTAGCTATAATAAAGCGGATCAAATTCCAATCCTATCTTTACTGCTCGTTACTGTATTTTATCACCCTCAGCATGCTTATGTTGCAGTGCTGCTCTTATTAAGGACAGGTAGGCTCTACAGTGCAAACATCCCACTGCATATCTTAAGGAAAATTAGAATGTGAAAAAGCAACTCTGAATTGAAATATTTAGCTTGACAAGTTCTGGCATCTCTATTGTCTCTCTTTAGCAGAAAGCACAACATATACACAGCATTCAGGAAGTAGCTTCTCATTTTTATTTGATTTGATTATTGTATATCATTAATAAAATATATATATATATATTAATAAGGAAAGATTTGTTTTATGAATCATGCAAAAGCTTTGAAAGCCTCCATGCAGAGAGGCGGGCAGTGTTACATAAGGCGGGGGAGTGCTGAGTCACCTTACATTTGAGACAATGTTAAACTACAGATCCTCGCTGCTACAGTGTGTGTATGAATAAAAGAGCAACTGATCCACTATTGAATTTAAGAATAAGAGTATATTATTCTGGTTTCACACTCGCAGGTGAACATTTCAAGCAGGTGTGAGTTTCACTAACACTGAGCTTGCGTTGCATCATGCCTGATTCTCTGCTCACCTGAACCTGCCTGAAGATGCCCTGGTTGAATTCATCCAAGTACTTCACATGCCAAACCAGGAAAGATCCATCAGTAGGGTGGATGGTGAACAACATGTCTGGGCTCTTGTTCCACTCTGTGATCAGAGTCTCCATCTTCCTCTCCAGCAGCATGGAGGGCAAAGGCATGCTGGAGCTGGATCCGGGAGAGGACGCCTTGGTGCTCCCCTGCTCCCCTGTCTCCCCCTCCTCCCCCTGCTCTGAGGACGCTTTGTCAGACATCTCGTCCAGGTCTATAAAGACAGAAAACAATATGCTTTGACAACATGATGTTTCATATATTAATTATGTGGTACATATGTGTTTAAGGGTCTTACCAAAGTCAAACTTCATGGGGGATCCTTCGGAGTCCAGGGGGTCATCAGTAGTCTGGTCCAGCTGCTGTTCAGATAACTTACGGAGCTGCAGCATAAAGAGGTCCATGGAGGCGGTGAAGCTGAGGTCCTTGTTGTTGAGCCAGTGAACGACAAAGCCTCCACCACCACTACCATCGTCTGGGTTAAACACTGCAGATTCCGCCAGCACTGCTGGGATGTCTGAAAGAGAAAGAGGTAGGTAGGAAAAGTGAGACAGATAGGGATGTAAGGAGTTAAAAGGAAGAATTCTGTTATGTTTTGGAACTGAAAAAACACACACTGAAATATAAGGTAAGCTAGAGTCAAATTAATCTTAAAATGATCAACATGCAGGATCTCTGCAATTAACTAATGACGTTTTTTTTTAGATGTTTTACTATGCCACTTTTACAGATGAAGTCATTAAATAACAGAACACTATAGAACACCCTCGTGGGGTCAATGGTGCAAGTAAGTATAGATCTGTGGCAAATAAATATAAAAATGCTGCAGAGCCACTTCCAACAAAGACTCTCACCTGTGTTTGGGTTAATACTGGCTGAGATATGGAAGTGACACAGGGCATTGGCGTGATGAGCGATGTGGCGGTGGCTGTGTGCGTCCTGCGTGCCGAGCTGAGAGGGCAGCACCTCACTGTGAGCCACCAGAACAGAGGACCGTCGCCGGCCGCGCCGCAGGTGCTTAAGGTGGTGGATCGACTGATCAAGCAAAGAACAGGTATACAACAAAGAGAACAAGTCAAGAATCACAAATCTTATTTTTTATTTTATAAACTATTTCTGAACAGTTATGACTGTGTACCTCCAAAGCATGCTGGATTTTGTCCTTGTTGCCTGCCAGGCTTGGCAGGCTGGAGCTGAAGGAGTGCGTGTTCTCAGAGATCTGCCCGCCAAGCATGCTGTCTTCTGGTAGCAGCGTCTCAGACCACAGCCTACACACGCCATCCTCACAGGATGTCAGCAGCACATTGCACACTGAACCCCTAGGAAACAACAGAAGAATCCATCAGTAATAATGAGTATTTTTCGAATGACAGCTTAGTGAAATGTGAAATGATACTATATTATTTTTGATTAAATCAATTCACCCAGTGTAACAGCCAAACAAAGACTACCTCTCACTGATTCAACGACTGATTCAACGACTTGACTATCCATAAAACTTTTTCATTTAGAACATTCATTTAAATCAGCATACTAGGTATTTCAATGCTGGGATGAATGTCTTTTTTAATAAATACTCCATGTTGCAACTTTGAACCTTTCAAATGTACTAACAAAATAAATGTATTAAAGACAATGTTGTCAATGTTAGCATTTTAAAGAATTAAACCCCCAGAGATCGATTCAAAAAGGAATTGACCAAAAGAAGTACAAATGGACTAAAACTAAACATGTCAGTGGCCACCCTGACCATGTGATTGTGTGTGTGCTTTCTTACTTGGGCATGTACTTGCTGGTCTTCCTCCAGGACATGCCGGTGACCATGCGGGGATGTGCCAGGTAAACAAAGGAGAAGTGAACAGGGGGAGGTTTTTTATCCGAGTGGTCTTGAGCCACCACTGCAGAACGCCAGCCCGTGGTGGGATACCACACTTTAAGTAAACAGTCATCCTGCATATTGAAACACATAGATGAACATACATTATCCAAAAACATTACCACACAATAAGACAAACCTTTCAACAATGCGTTGTTTTGCAACATGTATACATGAATAATATACCTTCCCAACTGTTGCAAAGTACTCCCCATCAGTAGACCACTTGGCAATGTGAACAGATGCAGCAGTCCTGAGAGAAACACAGGAATAAACAATGGTGATCAGCTATATTCACTTCTCCAAGGAAAACACTCCTGTCAGTGCTCAAAAAGCTTTGTGTGGTTTCATTTCAAAGCTTGCACTTCCCTTTTTATTGACTTACTGGGCATGCATATGTGTCATCAGATGACAATTACTAACATAGTAAACAAATATAAACTTTATATGTTTATATCTATGTTTGCACAGCTTAAAGCACAGCCCACAGACTTAAACAGTGGCTTAAAGATACAAAGCTTTTATGTGGGGCTGTGTGCAGATGGTGTTTGGATATATTCAGTGAAAGCCTATATGTTTTAATTAGTTAAAGTATATATAATTCCACAACCTTTAAGAACAATAAAACGTAATATTTTGTGTGCTGGACTTAATCAGCATGGTAGAAAAAAGACTAAAACATCTGAGATATAAAAACATATTTTCGCCTGTTTTACTTTTAATTGACAGAAGGAACCGTGCAAATGAGAGATATTGCAATCTTCACAAAACTCACAGGTACTTGCATTTTTAGAGATGAGCAATGTGTTTTCAGTTAAAATTACCTGCAACAAACTGGGCTCAAGACTGTTTTTACTGACTTACTGACATAAACAAGACAACAGAACAACAGTGTACAGAGGAGAGAATGAAGAAAATTAAGACACACAGGTCTGCTCACTTATCAAATAACTGTTTGCTAGCTATCAGGGTTTTTACATAATTAATTAATTAAGATTGTCCGAATATCAGTAATATGGCTCTACATTTTTGTGTATACATCTATGCTTCGACAGTAAAAAACGTACTTGCACTGCCAGACACAGTTCCAGTCATTGAACACAGGGTGGGGCCTGTCCTCATTTAACTGTCCATCCTCCTCCTCTATCAGGGCATCTTTCAGTGGAGGAGCCCACAGTTGGAGCCGCTCAGTTGCTGCTAGGATACGGTTCCCTGTGGACACAAAATGTTACGCACCTCTCATCCCACGTTGGCTACTTCAGTGCCCAAAACCACATGCCCACTGTCATTCTTACATCATGCAAATGTCAGTCCAGACTAACCACAGGGGGCTGTAATAGGAGCTGTGCATAGTGTGGACACATTGAGTCAGACAAACACAGAAAGCCTTGGCGTACCTTGGGGGTCCCAGGCCAGGTTGTAGGTGATGGCCTCGAGGAAGAACTGTCCTGTCTTTTGCCACTGATAGTTAAGCTGCTGTTAGTGATAGAAAGAGCACACACACCATGCATGTTAATGGCACACAAGTGTCATTAGGTTAACTGGATATTGATTTATGGTAAACCATGTATGTTATGTCTAAAAGAAACACCACTATGCTCACCTTGTGTCGTTTGTTTGGGTTGGTAGAAAGAGGCTCAAAGATGCAGACTGTGTTTCCGTAGGATGCAGCAATCTAAAAATAAAGAGCTGTGTTTATCATCACAACATTACGCACTCCATCAGTGCTTCTGCTCAGCCCTTCCCACGGGAAGGGGGGAGTGGGGGAGTGGTACGGGAGGAGGAGAGCATGGCCGGTACAAGATACAGGGCTAAATGTACTTATTTTTGCTCAGCATAATTGATAATGGCTTCTGGCTACACGGGAAAAACGAAAACTGTACGTGTACGTGTGTCTGAGTGTGCAGTCAACACTTACCCTTCCAAGCTGGAGGGAGCACTCCACACAGCCCACCTGTATGTTCCCATTCTGAGCTCCCGGGATGATCTGCACGCACTCAAAGTCACTGGCCAAGATCACTACATCACAACCTGAGCCATAGGCCTGAATAAGAAATGGGCACAGACAGAAGAACCAAATAAGACTGTGTCACATTAAATAAATATTGTAACTGTTACTGCAAAATTGATTAATGCCTTCACTAATATGTCTGGAGGAAGAAATTTATTATATACACATGTATTAATAAACATAATTGTTCATGTAATGTACAGATTTATGCAGTATGTTTCTTACTGCTTTAAATTCACACACTAATACATTTTAATTGAATATACAATGTAATTTCATATAACTGGCTAAAAGAAATCTAGAATGGTACTCAATGGCACTAAAGTGAATATTGTGTTATAGTGTATTGCGCAGGGAAATATAACATATCATAAAAGCAGTAGCGCAGATGGCGTTAACACTAAAACACCATTAAGCACTGTTGTGGTGGTAAAACTAGCAGGAAAACCACATAGAAAAACTAACTTGAAATTTAGTTTCATAGATCCACTGCAGGGAAAAAATAACACCTTCTCGTGTGCAGGAAATAGACAAAGACAGCACATGCTCATTAAACAAGCTCAATTTGAAAACCTGTGTTAAGATTTGGACTGTGAGCGGCAGGGTAAACTGATACAACGGTGTTAGCCGGCTGTTGACAACCATGTGTAGAATGGCAGCAATAGCAGCAGCACCTGGAACACAGGCAAGCTGGCCTCGAAGCAACAGGACAGTCAGGAGGACGGCTCACGTCTTTCATTATTCAGGAGAACAGGAGGCGAGGCTGGGAACCATTGGGTCACACAGCGGGACAACATTACAGCTGGTTGTATAACTTAAAGTGACAGGTGAGGATGAGGTTATGTTCAAGAGTGTCATAGGATTATACTTTACATTCTATCATTTAATTGTCGAATAGGAAGAAAGAGTAGTGAAGGAGGCCTGTTCTGCACTTTGCTGTGACTGCGGCACTTCCTCCAGCACATTACAGCTGGAATTAAAAGCGGTCACCGTCACGCACTGCACCTCTGTCTCTCACACACACACACACACACACACACACACACACACACACACACACACACACACACACACACACACACACACACACACACACACACACACACACACACACACACACACACACACAAGACAAAGAGCGAGTCCATTCTACTCTATTTGTCAGCAAGATCATTTGGATCTGATGGGACATTGAGCCATGCTGGCGCTTGTAAGCATGAGTGTATCTGCCTTAAACAGTATGACCCATCATCACTGCTTTGTTCATTCAGTTTGGTCTTGTGTGTGTGTGCCCTGTAATCCTTTCAACATCCACAGATCCACATGCACACACACACAACAACACACAACTGAGTGATGGCAATACAAAGTAGGATGATTCATTAGTAGTAGCAGCATAATACATTGTGGTATCATGGTAAACATTGACACAACTTACGATCAGCATAAACAGTTAGGACTAAAATGCTGTAAGTGTGTCCATAGACAAAGACAATTTGAGTGAGTTGAAGATCATTTGATGTTTATGTTTATTTGGGAGCCTTTTTATAGGGAATGATGTACACAACAGTGATTACTAAAAAATGACATCTCCCATCTGAAACATCCTGATAATGATAGGCAGCACTACGCAGAGAGCTACTTGCAGCACTGCATTTCTCTACTGAGGGTAATAACACTGGAACGATAGATCTTTCAAGAAAGTCAACAAAGAGAACCATTATCATTATTAGACAGCCAAAAGTGTAATTAAATCAAAGCTGTCCTTTGAACACATATTACATGTTACACGCTTTTATCCAAAGCGACTTACATACTTAATACCGTGGGCAATCCCCACAGGAGCAATTTTGGGGTGAAGTGCTGGCTGCAGTGGGGTTCGAACCTGTTACCCCCTGATCCCAACACCAAGGCTCTATCCAATGCGCCACACGCCTCCTAGAATACTAGAAATGAAAACGTTAAGCCGATCCTAATAAGATTATAGATTATCTAGCTGCTATGATATTTATCTAAGCAACAGACAGCAACATTGGGCTACTTAATATGACTGCACTAAGGTCTACCACCACGCACATGTAGCTCATGTCTGCCAAATGTTGTAACGAGTACAACCATGAAGAAGTTTAATTGTGTCAGTCATGTCGTGTAAGCTGCTTAAAGAGCAACTTCCAGGTTAAAGACACCTGTGAATAAATGTGTAGGAAAATTATGAATACACTAGATTTTCAAAAGAATATACAGAAATATACACTACAGTGACATCTGGCGTCGTTTTTGTAAGAAATGTTCACTTCCGCATAAAAAAGCCTCGGCACGTGACCTCCCGCGTGTGACGTAACACGGGGGAACAAGGGGGAGCGGCCGGTGTAACGTATTAATAAACATGGATCCCGATGCTAGTTTCGACACAGAAGAAGTTGAACATTTAATATTCGAATGCATATGACGGACCACAACCTTATAATTATGAGCCTGCTAGGCGTCCAAGAGACCAGGAGCAGCCAAGGATTAGAAGAAATAACGGCCATCGGAGAGAAATTGAGCTGTGGTGTGAGGAGAACCAGTGGAGAACTGGGCAGCTATCTTGGTGAGTGACCGGCGTTAGCTACACAATGTTAGCTAACGTCACATCACAACATTGTAAAGTTAGCTATCATATATCAGGCTATAACTAAAGTAGCATTGATAATATAGTAACGTTACTGGCAGGACTGTTGATACTGATCCATAACAGAAACTAATGCGCAAGTATCAGCCGTATCTCGCGTTACCTAATGCCACACTACGGTGCTGTGTACCGGAGGAGAGACGCGAGATACGGCTGATACTTGACGATCTGGCGGAGAAAGGTTGTGGAGCCTCCGTTGATATGTCGTTGTAAATGGCTTGATGGAAAGCAGGTGTGTAGTCGGGGAGGGTGCACAGCTGATTGCAGCAGGTGAGTGGAGGTTGAGCCAGGAGCCAGGAGTGACAGCCACCACGCACACACAAACAACACAGACAGGGGGAAACAAACAAACACAAAGGAGACGGCTGGAGCAGTACAGCCACCACAGCGTTACCTAATGCAATGTCTTAACGGTGCCGTGTACCGGAGGAGAGACGCGAGATACGGCTGATACTTGACGATCTGGCGGAGAAAGGTTGTGGAGCCTCCGTTGATATGTCGTTGTAAATGGCTTGATGGAAAGCAGGTGTGTAGTCGGGGAGGGTGCACAGCTGATTGCAGCAGGTGAGTGGAGGTTGAGCCGGGAGCCAGGAGTGACAGCCACCACGCACACACAAACAACACAGACAGGGGGAAACGAACAAACACAAAGGAGACGGCTGGAGCAGTACAGCCACCACAGCGTTACCTGATGCAATGTCTTACGGTGCCGTGTACCGGAGGGGAGAGAGAGAGAGCAGCGAAGGGGGGGGGGAGAGAGAGAAGTAATACGGTTTCCTGATAAAGCTGTGTGCTGCAGGGAGGTGGATGCACAACGCACCCAGGAACGAACGCTAGCTCCGGTCCTTTTTACTGTGGACTCGATGTCCTGACAGGCTGGTATTTGTGCAACCTGCACAAACACAATACTGCACCATGATTACAAATGGTGAAATACAATGTAAAATTACCAGCTCCTTAAAACACAACCGCTCTACTCAACGCAACTCTACTATACCCGCAGTCAGAGAGCGGAGATGTGTCCCCTGCGTAATATGACGCGTTCGACGTATGACCTTAAAAAAAGCCGTTTTTAAGAGCGGAGCTCAAAATTGCTCCTTTCCCTCTGAATTCCTGCCCTTATGTCTCGTAAAACATATCAAATCCTGCATTCACTTTTTTAATTGTAATTTTCAAGCAAGTTTAAGCATAAATGTAGAATAAATAAAAACCTGCAAGATCAAGTATGGTGCTGCCTTTGGATAAATAATACCTCTCCGTATCACATGAACATTAACAAAGCAACAACTATAATGTATTTGTAAATGTTGGTTTGTAGAAAATGAACTACACCTATTTAACTTATGTCGATTTGAGTCATGTGACCCTTCTTCTTTTACTATAAAGCCCTTCAAGCATTTACAGAGGTCCAAATACTGCATTTTATAGCCAGATGTGCAGCATGAGAGAGAAAGTATATAACTATGATATACAGTATGACATGCTTTATTTAATTGTATGATGTTACAAAAAACCCTCTCACCGAAACACCAATATTGACTGGTTTCTTTAGCCCAACACTGGGCAACCCCAGTATCATGCTTTATAAAAGATCAGAGATCAAAATATATGTATTGTTTATTGGAAGGAAGCATGGCCAACCACGTGCCTTGTTGATGAGAGCTTCAGAATTCGATTCACATTTATTTGAATGATGGCAACCCCTGTGAGGCGGGATTTACCTGATTCTCAGGGTGGATGTATTTTAGAAGAAAGGAGAGAATGCTGCAGTCATGTGCTGTGCTAATGAAAACAGATAACAGGAACCACTTCTTCCTCTCCAAAACATTCCTCATGCTGCTTACACAATCATGTGAGCATGTGCCACAGCCACAGCTGCGACCATGTGTACCATTTTCATGTTTGCGATCACTACAATCAAAAGCCTTAGATGCAACTATTTAAAAACATGAATTGATCAATCATGGCCTGTAGTAACCTGACCTCTCTAATGCGTGTTGTGCCATTATCCCAAGCAAAGCCCATAGCACAGACCTGTACTTTGATCCCACTGTCTCATAGCATACAGCATGGGCCTTGTTATTCTCTGCAGAATGACTGTAGTAAAGCAGTGGGCATTAAAAGGACAAACTACACCTCGTCAGGCTCTGATCCATCTCTAATATCTAGGCCTACTCGTATCAATTGAAAAATATGTGCCATTTACAATAACATGTTCAATTTCAAAACGGGAATAGGTCAGGAGTCTGAAACACAATTTAGCAGAATTAATGCTTGCACAATACACAGACAATGGAACATTTCCAAACAGGATATAAGTAATCTCAGAAAATCACATCTGGTGTGACGACATCTGTATTCT